ACACTCACACCCAAGAACACTAGAATAAAAATTACAATGAATGTAATAGTGTTCAATGAAAAAAGGACACAATTGAATACAAATTTGGTTATATTTGCTCTTTAATCGTTGGGATAGTTTTCTTATATTTTTTGGCTATTTGAAGATCCCTTTTATACGCTCTCATTGATTTATATCCATTGAAGGTTTTTGGAGGGAGTTTGAAGTATTAAACTCGCACATTAAAGGCTACATGCACATGAAGTTTTTAAAATATGGGGAAAGTTTAGACAATTTTTAGGGACTTAAAATTAATTTTTAAAAATAATATATATGAATATATATTATGTTATATCAAAATCATTTATGTTTATCACAGATAGAGGTAATAAGTCGGATTCTAGGTTCTTTACTTATAATGGTTGTAGGTAAGAACACTTGTAACTGGGAAGAATATTTACCATTTGTTGAATTTTCTTACAACATGTATATTCATTCAACTACAAGTTACTCTCCATTTGAGATAGTTTATGGTTTTAATCCACTAACTACTTTAAACCTCAAACTTTTTCCTTTAGATTACATTACAAGCATTGATGAAGAAAAGAAGGTTGAGATGATCAAATACATACGTGCCAAAGCTAATCAAATGATAAAAACAATACGAAGCAATTGTGAACAAAGTCAACAAAGGTCGATGCCATGTTATCTTTGAATCAAGTGATTGGGTTTGGATTCACATGAGAAAGGAGAGATTTCCAAAACAAAGGAAATCTAAACTTGATCCACATGGTGATGAACCATTCTAAATACTTGAAAGAATAAATGATAATGCTTATCGCATTGATCTTTTAAGTGAGTATAACGCGAGTACATCTTTTAATGTTTTTGAATTGTCTCCCTTTGATATTTTAGATTCGTGGATGAATCCTTTTAAGGGGGAGATGATACATGCACCACACGCCACAGGTGAAAGGAAGACATACTAACTCTTCCACTTGGCCCGATCACACGAGGTTGAGCCAAAATTCTTAAAAATAAGCTTCAAGTTGTAGTTCAGGCCTTCTTCAACAATTTCCTATACTCTCACTTGAAGATTGAAGAACTCAAGGAATAAAATCCACCATTCCTTCCTCCCACATCTACTTGGATCATCACAACACAAGTCGAAACTTCTTCATGACCAAATTGTGAGACTTTTAAGATACTCCTAAAAATATATTTAAAGTTCCTTAAAAATGAAGCATTTTGCAAAGTTACCCATTGATAATCCTATAAATCATGAGATAACTTTTCCTTTCTATTTAGGATTTTAGTTACATAAACTCAATTCTATAAGGGTTAGTATTTATAGTTTAAATTAGGATAAGGGTAAAAGAGTAATTTCTTGTCATGATAAAACCCTAGTAGCCACCACCTTATTCCATGTTTCCCCCTTCTAGAAGCTCAATCTGGACCGTTCCTCACATCTAATGGTTAAGGACCAAGTTATGCATTCAAAATCCTAATTTTCATCTCCACCATCAAATCAAGCACTACATCAAGGGCTTACATTGATTTCGCCCACATCACATAGATTAGGATATTATTTTATTGTTATTTCATTATTATTTTATTCATTAGTCATGTAGAAAAGAGACCTCACCCTATATAAAGGAGGCTCCTCCTACAGTTGTAAACACACCTTTTCTTGTATATAATACAATGAGAGTTCATTTTTACAAGTGTTGATTGTCTTATGCCTTCGAAGCTTCTTCATTATTAAGTTTTTTTCAAGTTCTTCATGAGGGAAATCTTCACACTCTAGTTTATCTTTTCATTGGGATTAGGAGGTCTGTTTAGAGTTGATTATCGAGTTTTCCTAGTCAATTGCAACTATGAGGGTTTGAAGGAAAATTATCCATCGATTGTCATCATCACCATCACCACCATTATCATCAAATGGCCCACAATTTCCATAAACCAAGTTTACGTTAACCTCATACCTACTGGGAAATTTTCAATTTCAATTTTTCATTAGATTCGTTTCTCTTTTCATACCTTTAATCTATAGTTTATTCTTTTTCTAACGAGTATTTGTTTGCTTGATTACGTGTTAGGAATAAATTTTTTGAAAACCCTAATTTGACTAAGTTATTCCTATCTTATTACATTCATTGTCTTTTTTTTTTCTTGTCTTTATTATCTTATTCTTATTTCCCTTATTCAATTTTCAGTAAACTCTAAATCCCATAAACCCTATTTATCACCTCCCCTTCAAGTCTTTCCCCTCTCATTCTTTGATCAAGTATATATCTCTCTAGGTTTGATTCTTCAACAACGAGCAACGTTCATCACTCTGCTACCATCCCTTATCAACTACGATCGACATGGACCTAGATCCAATTGATTGTAGATGTAACAGTAACGAAAATGACTTTTTCAGGCGATATCTTCATAAAGGAGCTACGATTTCACCAGAAATGTAAACGTTATCGATGGGAAAGGATTTGAATGAGGTTCAAGGATATTGATATGTCGAAGGATCAAATCTGTTTGGATGGATTGATTTCGATCTTAGTGGCAAACCGACGGTTCTGAAGTTGGCTTTACTATCAGTTCAAGAAGTCAAGAAGTTGTTAAGGATTGCGTAGTTGGAGGTGGTGAAAACGAGTGTAAAGGAGAGCGGTAAAACATGGATTTCTAATTCGTATTTTAGTAAGATGTGCGAAGAGAATTCTTTAGATCCCGAGTAGAGGATGCTGTGAAAATGAAAGACACATGTTTTTTTTTTTAAATTTCAAAGTCAAAATTTTGTTAACGGGTTAACGGGAGTTAACAACTGAGGGACTAAAATATAGTGAATCAATAACGTAAGGGACCAAAAGCACTTAATTTTTGAACCGATGACCAAGCCGAAGGCAAAGGGAACTATACATATAATTTCCATATTAAAGTGTAAACTACAAAAATAGTCACTAATGTTTGGATAAGTTTTCATTTTACCCACTAAAGTTTCAAAAGTTACAAATTGGTCACCAACGTTATTTATTTATAACAAAGTGATCATTAATGTTATCTATTTGTAACAAAATGGTCCACAACAAAAGTCATTAACGTGGGTGACAGAAAGTTGAACCAGACTGTTAAACATTTACTTGTAACATCAAACGCCACTCTAGAGAATCGTTGGAGTCCCTGTTGATCGGCACTTTGCAGATTTGCTTCTCGATTGCAACTGCAACTTCTGGAGTAGTTGTGGCTTCACTTATCTACTGCTCCTCGACTTCTTTAATCATCCTTTTGACGTTGGAGTCCCTCTTTTTCCTCTTGCTTCGCTCTTCTATCTTTTATTAGTTCCTTTACCAACTCAACTTCTACCACTACTTTCTCTCCATTCTAGCCGGCATGCTCCATATTTTGTCCTGGCGTCGAAATGCAGTACTTCCTTCTCGACCCTTATGGAATTAGACCGTTTCCACAAACTTAAACTTGAATGCAATCCCTGAAAAAAAATACAACAAAAAAGTGAACATAAATTTATGATACTAAAAGCATGAGGGTTTAAATTTAGAGAGTAATATAACAGTGGCATCCTGCATTTGAAAAGCTTTTGAGAATCTGCAATGAGGTATGTAATGGGATTGTGTGGTTCAAAGCTTGAGTTTTTGAATACTTCAACTGCCTTAATAACAAACGAAACCATTTGAATATTGTAACTTGTAAGAAAGAAACCCTGAAAATTAACCATTAGAATGAGATTGTTCATATCCCTAATTAGTTTATTATTAACTTTTAATTAAAAATCTTCTGCAATTTTCTTTTTTTTTTTCTTGGGGTTATTTTACAAATCTAAAAAGGAGAAAGAAAAAGAAAGCATGAAACGCAAATCAAAACACCAAGGATTAACAAAAACAAAACGTTAAGTGTACCTTAAACTATGGATCTTACACTTTGCTGAAATGAGTGTAAATTAACCATAAAGTTTATAATTAATAATTATTTATGTTTAATTTAGCGCATTGAAAAAAATATAGAAATCTCTTCATCGGTGCTACCTTTAAAAATGATCAAATTTTCTCAAAAATCAAAATGGTTAAATTTTTATGTTCAATTCAACCATATGAATTGCTTGTATGGCAAATGTATCTAAAAATTCCACCGTAAAGAGCAAAGTTCAAAAAAATAAAACCAATAACGTGACAAAAGAATTCTCTACAAAACTGTCATTGAAACCCTTTCTTTATGCAAATTTACACTCATTTAACAATACTGCGTTTGAGCTTCTCTCCCATGAAGATAACTAAGAAGAAGCATTTTTATGCTAAATACTGTTTCTTTCAACTGTTGATGGTATAAGCCAATATAAATATTTTTGGTTTTCCTTGTTACTTCCAAATTCTATTAAATACGAAAGTCCTTGAGTACTTGTTCATCTCAAAAGCTGTGAAGTAAAAGAATGGCTCTCAATTGACGAGAAAGAATATCATTCCAGAACAATTCACCAGAAATCGAATTTGGTTGAGAGGAGATTGTATCATCTGTTGAGTCCAATTAGTCATTATGATCCCATTCTTTCCTCGAGCTTAAATTTTTCAAACTAGAGTCGAGTTTCAACTTTTAATTTTAAGTCCAAGTCAAATTTTATAGTTTTAAGCTTGAACTTTCGAGTCTAGTCGAACTCAGCTTTGAACTTTTCAAGTTGAGTCAAGCTCGACTCGTTTACAGCCCTAGAAAAGGGAGTCAAGTCGAACACAACTTTGAACTTTTTAAGTTAAACTCAACTCGTTTACAACCATAAAATAACGAGTCAAGTCAAAATCAGCTTTGAACTTTTCTAGCCGAGTGAAGCTAGACTAGTTTACGGCACCAGAAAAGAGTGTGCTTTGATAAGAAACTTCTAAGCCAAGTTAAAATGGCCCCTCAAATTGGAAGAGGCAAAGGCAGTCTTGAAAATGAAGTTAATAAACTCCAGAATCCTCAATACAACTTTAGGGGAGGAAGCACCACCTATCACGCAACTTGAACATTATTAGCATTCAGCAAGAAAAACTGCTGTGCTGTTATCATTATAAAATTTGGGTTCAATTCCCCCACACCAATGTTGTGGTGAAAACATTCATCAGCTCTTTATCTGAACATTTTGCTTTTATAATCCTCAGCTACAAAATAATCTGAGTGAATGACAACTCCCACAAGGGTTCGAGGAAAAAAACATATCAAAATTTAAAATTACGGAATGAGATCTTTACAATCAAGGCTTGAGAGTAAGGGCAAGCCCCATCTTAGGGGATGCCTTCATGGCCTTCGAATCATATTCTGCCGAAAACGTTAATTGTGACTTCGGCCTCCATTCCCGTTGGCAGGGCATTGCAACCTTCCCATTGTCAGAGAACCGCGTTTTTACCACCGTAAAAGGGTCAGCATGAAAACTTCCAATTGTGAAAGTGTTTTCATAGGTAGAAAATCTATGAGCCATTTCAGCAGCAACAGAAGTGAAGGGATTGACAGAATGGATATATGATGCCTTCAATGCCTGTCCTTTATCAGTCCTAAAATGGGAAAACATGCATTCAAAAATTTAAGGCAAGGCCTTATTGACAGGGAAAGAACATAAAACAACACGAAGCATAAAATGTTGACAACTAATCAAATAAGCCATATTAAGTCAACTAACAGGATGAGCATAAAATGTTTCATCATAGTCCAAGGAAATGGAGTTCTAAAATTTTCTGGGGCGTACTAGTTATTTAATTTATCCCAAAGGTTCTCGTGCATCTTAAAGTCTCCCCAAACTGCTTAACATTCTTGGTTTTGCCTCTTCTAAATCGTCACCTTACATACCAGCTTGAAATATATCAAATGAATCAAACTATGGTTTACCATAATAAAGATTGTTAAATCTATAGATAATAATAATGGTTGTTATATCTTTACACCCTTCTCAAAATTCCATGCAATACACCAAATATCAATACTGATATAGCACATTCTCTACTGCTATTTCTATATGAAGCAGAAAATAGAACAATAACAATTAAGATCAACTTCAAAGGCATTACACTAGGTCACTGAAATTCTCAATATGCAAGGAACAACGTCACTCTGGCATCACAAAGAAAAACACAGCTGATATATTCAACTCAATACCAATAAGTAGTATGCTATTCTTTCCTTTCCTTTTTTTTTTTCTTAGATATCAATCAATGCATATCAGTCCCAGTTACAAGTGGATCCTACATGCAAACTCATGTGATAATTGACATTTGATTTTAAGAAGCCAAAACATATTGGAAATAGGATCACCCTTTCTTTCATATGTTATGACCCAAGAGAATCGGAGAAGAGAATCGAAGAAATAGAAATAAAGATTAAAAGAAGAAATTTAGAGAAGAAATAGAGGTTGAAGAAGAGAACAATTCATTCAATTTTCAGATAATTTCCTCTTGGTTCAGTACACGTTTTATTTGTTAACATTGTACCAATTCTAACCACTTTACCAGCTGGCAGTACAGCTGTCTAACAGAATTATTTTTCCTGCAGGTGCTGCTGGCATGATTCCTTCCCATGATTTGGTCCATCAGGTAAGTGAGTAAGCCCTTCTAATTTTGTATTCCCAATTACCCTAATTTTCTCAATTGAAATCCCTAACCCTACTTTCAATTCCCCCAATTCTCCCCCGCCTTCTCTGACTGTTTCTATATCTCTACTACTCATGAAAATACCCCCTCCATGAAAGGATCCTTGTCCCCAAGGATCAAAAACTAGGAATTGTGCTTTAGGCACAATATACTTTACCATAGTGACGTTTTCCAGCCTTAAGTTCGTCCATTGCACATGATTGTGCTTCTTCTCCATATGTTTGTCGAGCACCATAGTCGGGTGGACCTTCAACTTTCCTTCCTATCCAAACTGAGAAGGATCCAATGAGGTAACGCTTTGATCTCCAATTTTTTTTTTTAACAAACTGCTATGAGTTACTGGTTGCACCCTCCAGGACTCGGGTAATAATTTATACGCTACTACCCCCATGCATTGTAAACCGTGTAGGGACCATAGAACCTTGCTGCCAGCTTTAATCCTTTTCGAAGAGCAAGTGAGGTTTGATGGTAAGACTGGAACTTCAGGTAAATTCTGTCCCCGACCTTTAGATCTCTGTCTGTCTCATCCTTTTTAGTTTGATCCTTACCTTTTTCCCTTTCACGTTCTCTCTCCTTCTCATTCCTTTTCTCTTTATCTTCTCTATCTTTCTCCTTTTTAGCCTTCTCCTCCTCTCGTTTTCGCTCCTTTAGCTTTCTCCTGTAAGTGTGCAATGTATTCCTCAAAGATCTCTCTCCTACAGCTCTCTTCTGCAATTGATACGTATTCTTGGTTTTCTTCAAAAAGTGGCTTGGAATCCTCCCAATTAGAAGATGTTGTTATCTCCTTATAGGTATGCAATAGTGTAGTGAAGTCATCAGCTAGAAGTTGACTTTTTTTAGCCTCTTTCTCCTTGGCTCTCTCAAGAAACTCATCATACACAGGCTTTAATTTAATATCTGATATCAGTGAGGAACCCACTTCTTCTGAAATAGCAGCCTTGAAGTCTTCGAATGTCCATGAACAACCCATGGTAATCTTCCCCCACTTCATTGCATCTTTTATACGGGTTTTGTCTTCATGATACTGTTTTTTTAATTCTTCAGCAACATCCTCGAACAAATCTTTTGGTGTTGAACCAGATGTGTTAGATGCAACAGCAAAATATTGAGGCAAATCTTTCACCTTCAAACAATAATCTCGCCAATAAGTTCTAGTTGTAAGAGTACCATCAGCAACATGATCTTCCATTAGCTTACGAAATGCATCATGGTTTTTGCGCTCGGCACGACTTAATTGTTCCTTTTGCAACTTCTTTTTTTTTCTCTTCTTCCTTCTCTAAGTCATGAATACAGTCCTGGAATATGAGCAGCCGATCAATTTTTTCAAGACGTGAGCATCTTTCATCATCCTCCAAATGATCTTGAGCTTTCCTCCACTGGCTGTTTGCCTTAATAAAATCACAGGATTCCAGAAATTTTCTATATTCTGCTATATAACGCCTTTTTTCCTCTGCAGCATGTTCCCTTTCCTTCCTCTCAAGATCCACTATACAGCTTTCAAAAAAATCTTCCCGATCTCTGGCGCGTTTAACAACCTTAAACCGCTCATCATTTTCAAACAAACTTTGAGCTTTACTCCATCTCATGGATGATGTTAGTTCCTTGGACTCTTCCAGCATTTTTGTAAACTCCTCTCGAGCCTTCTTCTGTCTCATTCGCCTTTCCTCGGCTTCTAACTTTTTTCTTTGACCCAAATACTCATTAAAGGCTTGCTTCCGCTCACCAAGTGTCTTCAGAGTACCATACATTTTGTCGTTAATTATTTCTCTCATTGCCTGCTCCCACATCCAATCAGATTGCACACTTGCAGATTCAAGGAGAGATTTGAAAGCATTTTTTGCCTCCAACTTATTTGCATATACTAAAGGCTCATCATCCAGAACTTTCTCTTCTACTGGAGTTACATTAACCTTTCCAGCAACTGCCATCCCCTTTCTCGCTTCCTCAATGTCTTGAGCAGAAGCTCCATCTGTTTCTTGAGTTGCTATAGGTTCCAAGCTTCTTGTGACTGCTGTGTTAGCGCTGACAGAAGGAACAGAAACAGTGGAACCTCCCAAGGGAACGGCAGGTAAAGGTGACACAGACACTGCCCGAGGTGCATCTGTAGTAGCAGATTGTGAAACAGGAATAACCGTTGGTCCAGATGATGAATTGGGTGCAGAACTAACAACAGGCATAACTAAAACCAGGCTTAAATCCTGCAAAGTGTTGGAGCTCAAAGAAATAGTTGTAGAAGGCATCTCAGCTGCAGAGCCAACAGCAGCAACTGGAGCTTGAGGCACTCCTGAGCCTGATGGAGTTCCTTGGCTAGCTACTGCCTGAGCTTGCTCACGTGCTAACTTCAATTCCTCAGGTATTGTCCACTTAGACTGCTTTGTAACCTTGTTATAATAATATTTTCTTCTCTCCGGAGTTGTGAATTCCTTCCAAGCTGTGGATGCATCAGCTCTCGTTGTATGAAGACTTTGATAGCCATTAACCTCTGATGTAGCTTTGTAATCTTTCATAGCTCGAGGAACAGGAGTCTAGTTGCTATAGATTAATACAAGAACATAGTAGCTGATCTGTTGTGGACTACAAAAAGGTAGGTCGATGTTGTCCATATCATAAACACTGAGATTGCTCCATATACCCAACTTCAATAGAGTAGAAAGCATAAAGTGCAACCTTTGATTCACACTCCAGTTCTTAGCTAAATAAATTATACTCCTTCCCATCAACAAAAGCCGAAACACAAAAGGATCAAAAGTTTCAACATGTTCATTGAAATCTGAATTACCCACAGAAAAATCAACTATGAAAGGCGTAAAAGTAGCAATTCGAACTGATGTAGGCAAACCTGACTTCTCAAACCGTGGAACAACTCTTAATGGTTTCCCATGGCATTCACGCTGCAGGAACTCAAGAACATCAGAAAAGGCAGTTGCAATTGAAATGGCGTATACTCCAAAGTTGTTTGCCGGAAACTCTGCCATGATACTGATTGTATCCAAAACAGCACCATTTTCTTCTGTTATAGGAAGATCAAAACCAAACAACAGTCGTTTTCCACTTGGTTCAGATATTATCTATTCTAGCTTTTGTTCTTCAGACCACTCATGGTTGGAACCAATTTCCAAGTGTTGGGTATTAGTGATGGATGGCATTTTATCAAACACTTGACACCCATCATTTGTGCCTTCGATTGCCACAGGTAATGACTCCGTTTCAGGGCTGTTTTGGTCCTACTCCACCATTTTTCCTGTCAATACTCCTAGGATCTGTTCGAAATAACCCTTATTCTTTGCAATCCTTGTCTCCAGGTACTGCTGATCTTGCTTCACCAACTTTGCTAAGTCGTCAATCTGGTTTTGAATTGCAGAAAGAGCAGAGGATTCAGCCATTGCTTTGCCAGGAGTTGTGGCTCTGATTACCAATTTGTTATGACCCAAGAGAATCGGAGAAGAAGAGAATCGAAGAAATAGAAATAAAGATTAAGAGAAGAAATAGAGGTTGAAGAAGAGAACAATTCATTCAATTTTCAGATAATTTCCTCTTGGTTCAGTACACGTTTTATTTGTTAACATTGTACCAATTCTAACCACTTTACCAGCTGGCAGTACAGCTGTCTAACAGAATTGTTTTTCCTGTAGGTGCTGCTGGCATGATTCCTTCCCATGATTTGGTCCATCAGGTAAGTGAGTAAGCTCTTCTAATTTTGTATTCCCAATTACCCTAATTTTCTCAATTGAAATCCCTAACCCTATTTTCAATTCCCCCAATTCTCCCCCGCCTTCTCTGACTGTTTCTATATCTCTACTACTCATGACATCATACTAATCAGTGTCCCTTAGTCCAGCAGCTCCTTAACTAACTGCGCTCCCCATAATTCTTGGTCAACTCTCTCTCTCTCTCTCTCTAACACCACCAAATCTATACAGGTCACATAAACTTCGCTAAAAATATGCATGTGAAGTAGACATTTTGCTCAATTGCTTGTGATTATTTGAAAAAGTTTCCAATGATTACTGGATGTGTACGAGTTAACAGACTAAATCTCATTTAATTTGAACAAAGTGGGCAGAAACTGAAAGAGAGGGTGAGGCCCTTTCAGAATCAGACGAAACAAAATTTTGCATAAAAGAGTTATGAGACAAACAAATTAACTGTCGGTATTTACTGAAAGATCAGTGAAAATACTGGGTTTCATGACACGCTAAGTTTGCAGAGCCTGTTGGTAGAAATCGAAGTTTAGAGATCAAGAATAATTTTTGAAGAGCCCAATGACTATCGGTAGATTACCAAAATTTAAAGTATTTAAGGCTTACCCAAAAACTTTTTGTTAGTGGTTAGGATCATATTACATGCAAAGAACATTTAGGATCAATCTTATCCAACTTTAGATTCTGTAAAATGTTAACAAGATGTTATAAGCTCATGATGCAGCACTTGTCAACCAACTGAAGCTGAAGGTGTTTGGATAAAAAATAAACGCTAGATGTACACCTAAAACGAATAAATATCTTGAAAGGTAGATGATCTTGAAATACTTACAGCAAAAGGGCAGCAGAAAAATCTGGCCTGTTCAAGTTGATCCCAGCAGTGTACTTGGTAAAAGAAGCAGAAGCTGTATCAAATCCATCTTCACCACCCAAATAAAGTTCGTAGCTGCTGATTGTTGCTGAAAATTCCAACAGGGGAGATGGATTCAGGCCAATGCTAGAATCAATGGCAGCATGAGGATGAAGATATTGGACGTCCAACTGAGATATTAAGCATATAGAAAGTAAAAGATTCAGTTTCTCAAACATAAAATTATATTATCAACACTTGAAGAAATTGCTAGTTTACTGCCATTAACCAATTGGTTGGAGTGTTCGTAATATAATTTTCTACAGAAGTGACTGCCAATGATCTTTCTTTTGAGTCAACAAGAAAATTGGAGTGTAATTTTCCACCAAAGTGATTTGCATTCCCAAATTAACAATTTTGCAGATAAAACGAGAGTACCACGCATGAAAAGGAGCCATAATAAAACAGCAACCATATCTACTATATCCTTCTGTAAATATGTAGTAAGGAAGGGAATAGGAATGATAGACACTCGGCATAAACACAACCCGCACAACATGAAAAATGCATGGCTAGCAAATTAATAATAATACGGGGAATATGTAGGTTACTATGAGAAAAATGACGAGACACGGCTTATATGAATAAAAGATACGAAAATTACAAGGCGAGAAAATAAGATGCCGATTAGCATCAACTAGATTTAGTTCAATACTAAAATTATTAAAACAATAAGTTCAATAATCAGAAAGAAAGAAAAAACTTACAACAGAGATTGAGAAGAGAAGGGATGATGAACGATGAAACCGTGCAGCGGCAGCCACCAACACCGCTTCAGAGGAAGCTATTAGTTTGTTTAATTGAAAAGCCCACGGTCGAAAGCGTGCACACTCTCGAAGGCCAGGTTTTTAGGTCAGTTGTTAACAAGCGTGATGCACAATTGATTCGATCGGCCTTCCCAGGTTAACATGTGATGGGCCTGTCACCCCTGCTTTGATCATAAAATCATATTTTTTAAATCATACTTGAACTTATGTTTTTATTCTGATTTGGTCACTTTTAAAAATTTAACAGAATTACAGGCATGGCAAGTTTAAAAACTTTCAATGATGATGTGGTATTACATTATATTGATACGTCAGTATTACTATTAATTTTTAACATAGGATAACTAGAACGTAACAAAAATGTAAGTTTAAATATGATTTTGAAAAAAAATAGTTTAGTAACCAAAATAGAATCACATAAATAATTGAGTGATTAAATATATAACTCTTTATATTATGCAAACTACTATTATTCTCGGGGTCTCGTTTTGATCATAAAATTATTTTTTTTAAATTATGTCTAAACATACATTTTTGTTCTGTTTTGGTCCCCTATTGTTAAAAATTTAACAGAACTATCGATGTGATATTTTAAAAAGAATTTAATGATGATGTGGCATTACATTATGGTGATACATTACTATCAAAATCAATTTTTTAGCATAGTGTGACCAAAAGAGAACAAAAACGTAAGTTTAGGTATGATTTTGAAAAGAAAATAATTTGGTAACCAAAACGGAACTGTAAGAATAACTGGGGGACTACATAAATAGTTTACCCTTTATGCAGACCACCATCCTCACAATTCGAACATTATTTAGGTTTAATTTACAACGTATAATTGTATATCTTTATTTTCATTTGATGACCGAACCCTTTAATCTAAAGGTAAACGACATTAATGCAAGCAAAGCTCAATTTTTTCTTTATTTAAACCGGAAGAGTGAATGAAGAGAATCAAAATTTATATGTGGACAAATCAAAAGAATAATAAAAAAGGAAGAAAAATATGAGAGCAAAGTATATAATTAGGGTATGTGATATAACTTGGATGGTTTCAAGTTGCTGGTAACATTGAAATACTTCAAGGTATGAACCCACATCTCTTGTTTCTTCAACAAATGCACAGCGATGGTGTCCGGCCAGAGCTCGTGCGTGCACCTCGTCGGTGGCTCTGGATAATTGTACATCGACCACTTAGCATTGAACCTGTTCTTAGCCCGATGCCCGTCTCGGAGCCACTCTCCAAACACCTTGTCCTCCGGCCCTTCCAAATGGTTTTTAGGGATGTCTGATTCTCGAACCCACTCGGCTATGTCCCATGACACCAAATATCCCATTCCGGACATGTAATGAACAAATGGGTCCGTGCTGGGGCATGGGATCACATAGCCGTAATACAAGTCCTGTCTCGGCAACGGCCTTAACGACTCCACCAAGTTCTCCAACCTCAAGTATGTATCGTCATCGCCTTTCATCACGTAATGGTACGGAGGATATGGCCTGTCCGACGAGTTGAACATCTCCGGTAAGCTCGAAAAGAAAGTGTACGTTTTACCCTTGTTCATGTTCTCTTTACAGTTTAGTATTATAATGTCATCATAGCGCATTATCTCGAGCGCAACTAACACCATCTGGTCTTCCTTGGTGAGGTTACAAAAAACGAACTTCACATCTACCCGTGCCCCCACCGGGGACTGCGTACCGTATATGAGTCGAAGGAAATGGCGGCGATGGTATTGATCGGGAAGTGTCAGGATCCCTATCAGGATCCGAATGTCGTCGTCGTCGTCGGACGCCCCGTTCGATGCGATCGAAGATGAATTGTGGGACGGATCGGGAGGGACGCTGGAAAAGGCGCACCTTCCGAACGTCAAGAAGGTGTCGAACCGGATCTCGTTGATGGAAGCTAATACACAGAGGAACAAGATGAAGGTGAGAGATGAGAAGATGAAACGTTTGCTTTGTGATGATCTTGATGAAGGCTTCATTGTAGTTTTGATATTAGAGGGGTAGTGGAGAGAGTACTTTATGAAAGGGTGGGCGCAGAGTTCAATGCGTTTCCTTTGATACTTTAACGCATGGACTTGGTTGTGGGTTGCGTGCTATTTGGCCTAACAATTTGACTTTCCACCCTCCAAGGTTCAAAACAACGTGATGGAGGCAAAAAGGTTGAATCATTTGAGGAGCACGGCATAAAAGGCATGAATATTGTACCCTTGGCGTGATTTGGGAACGTAAAGCATAGACGGGGATCAATGTAAATGTACTTGATAGTAAAATTTGAGTTACAATTGTTAAACACAATTCATTTTTTTTTTTACTTGAGCTAATAATGACAATGGATAATTCTATAGAAAGTGGTGAGCTAAAGATAAATAATACAAGTCTTGGAGAGAATGAATTCAAGATTCTCTTCTCATATTTACACGATGGTTTATTTACTAATCTTGGGTGTGTTAAATATAGGTGGGTGTGTTAAATATAGGGTTATGATGACTATCATTTAAGGATGATCATTTTATTTGGACCCGACGGGTTTTGATCTAATTCAATCTAGACGGGTTGGTTTTTTATTTTGAAAAAAGTGGGTTCAGGTTGAGCACGTGTTTTAACCTAAAATATCAGGTCAGTTGGGGACTCTTCTAAACTCGAGTCAAATGCAAGTAGATGTCTTCTATTTTCAGGTCGAGTTTAGGTGGATCAAAAATTCGACATGACCCAACCCGTTGATACTCCTGCTATTGGTAGATTAACCGAGCAAATAAATATGATCATATGTCAATAAATATTGAAATGTGTTAAAGAGTCGTATAAAAAAGTTTTGACTAATTAAAGGATTCGAGATTTTGAGTGGTTGGATGAACAAAAGAATTTCAATAGTTGTTAGGGAGGTTGAATAAATGCATGAGTTAAATTGAGCATAAAATGTGAGTGAAGTGGATTTAGGCCTAACGTCGGCTTAGCCAAGGCTGGTTGAATATAGTCACCTTTTGGTGATTAGGTGGGTTCGCAATTGCAAGAACGTGGGATACCTCGAACCTTGCTTTGGGTTATACCCACCGACTCAGCCTATGCATGCTTGAATCTAAAGGAAGTGGCATTGACCCTGGGAACATGCTGCTCAATACCATTCAATGTCCCATTGGGGGAATTGATTTATAGTGATCCAAGATCAATGCCTCATTTTGATAATAACTTCTTTCTTTATTCTACGTTAAGTGTAATGTAAGATCTACAATAATTACACAGCAAATACAGATTCTCCCAATAAAACAAATCTTTAGATTCAAAAGCACTTCCAATGAGATAAGAGTATTAAATAACATTCTTCACCTTCGTATAGGGTGTAAATAGAACATGTTAAGTTTTAATGTTATTGAGCTCAACTAGAACTTAAAAAGTTTAAAATTGAAATCAACTCGACTTAAAAACTCATAAATTTAAAATTGTCAAATTCAACTTAAAATTAAAAAAAACGCGATTCAACTCTATTGAACTCGAAAAAAGGGTAAAATTTATCACTTTTCCTTCTTCAAATCTCATCCATTTAATTTTTTAAAACAAATCAGAACATCGCAGTACAAAATTTAGAGCGACTTTTTTATATTTGAATTTTAAATATTGAAAATCTCAATTATAATGTCTACTATTTCTATTTTTTTAAAACTATTAAATAATTTTTAAAAGTCAAGAATGTTAATAATTTAAATTAAAAAAGTGAATATATATAATGTTGACCGAAATCGATGATTCAATTCAGTATTTTTGTGTCGGTTTTATCGGTTTGATTTCATGATTTAACTTTAAAATTGTCGAAACCGACGAAACCATTTTACATATCAAATCAAGGTTTTTTTTTTTGTCCCAATACCCCAAGAAGGTCAATTATTTAGGGTATTGGGCTTCCCCAGCTTTTATTTTGGAAAATACGATAATTGCTATAGTGTACATGGAACTCACCACCTTGAGGTGACAAGTTTCCTCGGATATTATTTTTAAATGGTCCCCGAGTAATGGGTCTTACATGGGCCATTATTTTATTATCATTAATATGACTGAGCCTCGAGTTCCTTCAAATTCAAAAAAAATCTAGCCATTTTGTAGCCATTGTTCAACGGACAACAACAGTCACTTGGAGCTCATCACCTCAAGGTGAGAATTCGGCCGGATAATTTTTTTTTAAATAAATTAAAAGAAAATTGAATTTATTTATATTTTAAAAAATACAAAGTAAATAAATCATTTACAGAAAAACAAAAAAGAAAATTTATTTATATTTTCTAAGTTCTTGACGATGTTGAGGAGTGATCGATTCATAATGCGCGAGGCTCGTTGAGTACGTTGGGGTCATAGGCCTTAATCGTCGTCATCGTCGTTGACGTCATCATCATCATGCCGAGGAGGTGTACTTAACACACTCTGCGATCCACCATCGAAAAATGGTGATGGGCTAATGGTATTTGACGCCATCATTGTCATAACTGATTCGACTCGGCTGCTACTTTATTGACCATATAGGATATGATCCCACTCACCCGTAATTGCATGTTTTGTCGAAGGTGCTTGAGTGTATTGCGATGCATCCCAT